AACATTTACGCCATACTCCATTCAACATCATACTGAGGAAAACGTTTCGATTCATTTTTACGAAGCACAAGTGCATTTCTGACACACCCATGTTTGAGAAACCCATTTAAGATAACTGGTACCAAACATATGTGTGAGATCGAATGATATGTCCTCCATTGGCTTCTGGTAATGACCTAAGGTCAGATTAAGACGGACTACTTCCTGATGATAGTCAATGATAACTTTCTCGTTCCTCGGTCGAATTTACCATCATTAATAAATGTTCTTTGATATTATCTAGTTTGCATTATAATCACCGCCTTGACAATTCACAGATATGGCTGAAACCATTTTTTTGTGGAGGGTCACACTTGATATGAGTAGTAAGCAGAGAGCCCAATGTCACTCATGACTGTTGTGTTATGTATTAATGCGCCACTGCGATCAGGATAATTGACAAACTATGTATCGATTCGATGCTGAAATAGTGTGATTTATGGATGAGTAAGAAAAAGATTGCTGATGTTGTGATTGTCATATAGCTTTTAACTCTATCTCGTGATATTCGTTTTGAAACAACTTAGTGAAAGATAAATTATATTAGTTGACAGTCTCTCGTGTAGTTTCCAAGTTATCATCCAAAACTTGGCGCGATTAAACGATATATCCTTGGAGATATGGTAACAACGAAAGTACATAACACTGTTTTGTGGGATAGACGTCATAAGAAGGGCAGTATCAATGGATGGTTCAACTGAGTTATAAACCTGTTTGCACCAATATTATAAAGTGTATTTATAGATTCAGTCTTGCATCTTGCAGTATAGTCACATACGTTTTGGTATCAGCGTCCCTTGAATGATGTTCCCCGTATAAACTGAACTAGCCGTGTACAGAGATTGAATATGTAGTATTAAACGCCATTCTAAATATGCAGCATTCGTCGGGTCACGCGGAGCGTGTGTTCGAGTCCGAGACTGGTTTGCCTGTACCCGTGACATATCTAACGTCCCGAGAAATGTGTTTCTCTAATGTTCTTTTAAGTTATCGATAAGGTCGTTTTATGAATTTATAAGATAAGACTATTTTTATATGTGGTTTAATTACATGGACAGCAAAGAATCCTATCTGCCATGTTTTATTTTGTTTTATCGAGACATCCCTTGCGATTCCATCTTGCATTTCGTTATAATTTTCAAATCGCCTAGGAATCTAGCGCAAAAACAGCACGTCACCAAATTACATTTTCCTTCGCAGATTGCAATCGACTTGAAGAGTTTCTCTGGAAATTGCCATTTCGTTCACATTCTCTATAATTACCTGAAAACATCCCTCTCCGTTCTGATAATTCCCCCAACCCCAAGCTGTGATGTTTTGAATATCATCAAGTTTTATTTCTCTAATAATTGGCAAAGCACGCACCGCATCGGGCAAAAGTTCACGCTGAAAGACGTATCCAGTATTTGAATTTTCTTTCAATTTCCTGAATTTTAAGGAAATTGCAAGGCCTATCGATTTTTCAACATTCGTAATCACCTTATGAAATTTAAACTACTAACTTAAGCTCGGGCCACAAGAAAAAACGCTGTTTCTCGCGAGATAATGAGGTGATTGTGAAACTGAACTAGGTTTACTAAAACGAACCATTGTATGAACACAGTTGTGACTGTCACCACTACCACTCCATTACATCTGTCAGATTTTTTTATTGATAAAAATCACATTTAACAATCATGAATCACGAAATCTATATCAAATCTGTAACAAATAATCAGATTTCATTCTATTTCTTGCATAATGGGATGCTTAGGGCAAACGGTGTCTTGGCCGATCGTTATCAGCGCTTCGAATAGTGCAATTCATTATTAATCTGTAATAATGTATTACAACTCAAGTATCAAATGATCGATTACTAGAGACACTGTCACTTGCTTTAAGCAACCTTTTCAACCAAACGGTATTATTGATACGAAGTACGCAATTATCTGATAATGAATAACACCATGCCAAAAAATTTACGCTTGAATGAGTGAGTGAGTGAAGGGTGGTTTAGTGTTACGCTAAAATTAATATCTTACGACAACCTTAGTGCAGGGAATGAGTGAGTGAGTATGACTTTTCGACGCTTTTTTCAATATTACAGCAACATCACCAGAATTATTTTCACACATTGTACGCATGTAAGGAATCAAACCCGAGCCCTTGGCGGGACTAGCGAACGCGTTCACCACTGGGCTGCGTCCCCCGTCTGCTTCGTGTAGGAAAGTGAATAACCATGACAATATGAACACCGATACCTGTGCGGATACGTTGAAACACTAAACCAGCCAGGAATCATGGAGTGAGTGAGTGAGTGAGTGAGTGAGTGAGTCACACAATAATATTATTGTGGGAATAAAACTGGGGACTTTGATGTGCTAAACAAACCCTTTAACCACCGCCCTTCCCGAAGAACATTGAGTTTTTTTATATGATTTTACTATCACTGACTTATTTCAAGTGGCGTTCGGGTAGCCTAGTGGTTAAAGCGTTTGCTCGTCACGCTGAAGACCCGGGTTTGATTCCCGACATGGGTACAATGTGTGAAGCCCATTTCTGGTGTCCCCCGCCATGATATTGCTGGAATATTGCTAAAGGCGGCGTAAAACCGCACTCACTCACACTTATTTCAAAGACACTTGAAATAATTACATAGGTTAAGTGGGAATCGTTTCTTTAAGGTGTGCACAATTTTATAATTACTGTTTAAACACAGATTTTCTCAACCTGTAGTTTAACAACGTTTTTCATTGACTGTCCATCACATCCCAATGAAGGAGTTTTCTGTGGGTTACAAAAATATACTCCGCCATCCTCTTCCTTAGTTTGGTAAGAATGTCCTCTCAGATATTCTTCAGACAACCCGAGTTTTATGGAGTATGAGGTGAGGTGAGGTGAAATGGGGTTTAACGTCACGTCAAAGATGATTGCACTTATATAGCGACGTGCATGTACGTGTGTATGTTTGTGTGGCTGCTTGTACTAGTCCGGACTGATGCCGATTTATAGTGCTAGCTCACTGAGATACCATGCCGCAGTTTAACATGAATACCTCACTCAGACACGTATACTGACTCCGAGCCGACCAGTCCTTGTTTTAGCCCCTTAATGCCAAGCGTCAGACAGGGTAACAACAAGTACCATCTTTTAACGTCTTTTGGTATGACGCGGCCGGGGATCGAACCACCGACCTTCCGCTCTCCGGGCGGGCGCTCTACCGCCAGACCACGGAGGCGGTCCTTATGGAGTATGACAATAATTGAATGGTAGTGAGCAGCCACTTAATACAAATAAACAAAAATATTTCATAAAAAGGGGAGCAGGAGGGGTAGTCGTCTAAGGAGTTGCGTGCCTTGTGGGTTTGAATCCAGGTTCGTCAGCACCATGCCGTGCGATATGAGAGGAGAGCCTGACGCGATGAAAGTCTTAGACGTTCTCCACTTTGGTGAAACCCACGAACATGGGTGCAATGTCGACTGATCAAGAAACACAATCAGCGCGAACCGGGATTCGAACCCATCATCATAGGTTTCTGGCACACCCAAGGGACGCAACTCTGCACAGCGGCCCGTGCCCCCACATGCAGTACAGCACCTTCCAACATCTACACACACCTCTACATCGTCTAGCACAACATCCCAAGGCTCCATGTGTTAATTGAGGGAGTGTCTTATCTGATCATGAAAAGTGATTTCCCTTCTCAACACAGAATGCGACGGGGCTGCGCCAACCCAGCTCACATACAACTGGAGATCCCTCATTGGAGAGATAATATCCGTAACACATTACCTTGGAGCCAATATTTGTTCACCACCTCTCCACTCCGTCCACGAGATGGGGTGATAGTTCCGCGAGAAGGGGAGGCTTGACGAAGTGACAAGGAGTCGATTTTGATGATGCAGCGTTGATGATGAAAGAGCAAGGCGAATTATTGAGGTATTAGGCAGTCAGGGTGATCCTTGTTCAAGGCTGTAGGGCTTTCTTACACCAAACGTCTTCTCTGACGGTTGACTTCTTACACGTTGTAATGATTTCTTCAAACATTCCAGGATTTGGGGAAAAGGTTGCATAAATTTACCCATCACCTAAAGAAAGAAATATATATTCAAATATATATATTTAAATTTTAAATTTATATCAAAGTACGCAATATGCCAATAGGCAATCTGCTGTTCTTTTATGAAAAACTGTTCACCAAGCTACATATACATTAGTGACCGACCATTTTATACTCGGTCGGAAGAGGGGGAGGGGGTTGGCAATGGATTTTATCGAAAAAACATAACTATGCTTCCGACTGCCCACACCATTGTCTGCCAACTTGTTGCAAGGTGTTTTCAAAATGGTTTTATTTAGGCTTACAGATTTATTTTTAAAATACCCCGTTTCGCAGCTATAGCTGAAAAATATCTTGTGTTTATACAAAATCACACCACCCTAGAATGTCAAATGGTAGGTACCTTAGTGACTATTACCTGTCGCCCTATCCACGTTTGGGGATGAACATAGATCACACCAATTTCCATTAACCTTATGTATATACCTCTTGACGCCCACCACCAGTTGATAACCTTGAATTTGCATCGGTCTTGTCGATGGGCCACGCATGCGCAACAATGTGACTGAACTCCTTTTATATTGACAATTAAACCAACGTCAATATATCGATTCCTGACAGTGACAGTGACATCCGACAGCAATAACCTTGCCAGTGACACAGCTTAGCAGACGGAGTGATGAACGGCCTCCATGATACCACTACTCATGTACACAGATTGAAAACTGTTGCTACGAGTGCGAGCAATGTTGCCCCTAGCCGGTATCGTCCTTGTGATAATAAAAGAGTTCTAAAACCCGTCGTCTTACCCCTGATCTCAAACATGAATTTGTATTAGTTTAACCATTCCTCGCCTCGCCAAAGTCGTTTGGGAGATAACTAACCGACCCTCCTGCTCCGTGATCTATCATCAGCTGCAGCCATGTATCTACTGCTAGCGACTGTCTTCACGCGCAGCGATTCTTTCCATTGGCTGAATGTGTCGTCTGCTTCGTAACAAGCTGGCAGGCCACGTGACCCGCTGTTGACGACCAGCAGACGACAGATTCTGTCAATCACGTTTTGATTCTGTGGTGTAATCACATTTCGTCTGAAGAACATCTTCACATGTTACCTATGGATTAACAGTGGATAGGCAATTTTCGCCTGTTTTCATAACATATCACCAGCTTGTTGGCTTTACTTATGAAAAATGGAATTGTGATATTTTTGGGGGATCACCATCCATCTGTTTTGTCTGGGATAAAACGGTTTCTTGCTTCCCAAAAGAGAGGAATTAACTTTATTCTGGCGCTGGAGTTTTGTGATCGATATCAGTTTTATCAACGTGTGTCCTGCCTGCATCAATTTAGTAATATTGTGGAATTTAACTAAACCTGGACAAAGGCACGAGAACGTTGAACTGCGATCCATATGACTCGATGGCAGTCTTTGGGTAAGTACCATATCATTGATTCCCATTGATTGACGTTATAATAATCGATAAACTAAACACAATCACACATAAACAATGTTCATCTTTCTCTCATTACAAAACAATATACATCTACTGCCTTATGGTGTCAGAAAATCAATAAAAGCATAATCACATTTTTTTCGAAAGCCTCCCCTTTTCGACAATATATCGTTATTACTCGATCTACATATTCGTAGATTATAACTAATCGTAGATTGACTAGACTTACACCATTCACTAATCAATATCCGCAACAAAACGACCACCTCGTATACGTTACATGACGTCATTTATCGAAATAAGTAATATATATTAAGCAACGTTCATATATGCTGGGAATAAGCATGTCATATAACTGTTTCAAGTAAGTAAACAGAGCTCTGTTTGATTTGTTCTTCAGCTAGATGCTTTGCGTTTGTTGTCTTCCGTGTGACCTTCTAAATCAATTGAATGCTGATACAACTACTGTGTCATTTGTTTGCTTTTCAATATATTCTGGCATCAAAGGCGATTTCACAATCACGAGCATTATAGAACAAAATAGATTAATGATTGTCGATTTTCCTTTGTCTTTAATGTGAAAGGGTCGATCAAATAATCATTAGGTTGCGCTTAGTCTGATATATGTGTCTTTCAGCCATGCTGCTGAATATGTAAATGACGATGTATTATCACAAACAGGGCCTGTGGCAGTATGATATGTATCCATATCTTTTTCATAATGCCCTAAATAATCCTTTGGCAAATCCACTGGAGACTGCCGTTTGAGACAATGGGTAATAATACCAGATGGTTATTTAAAATACATTTATTAATGTTTTACACCATCATACCAAGGAGAAAAATCTTCATTTCCAGACAGGTCACGCAGACGCATATTGGCATATGTGATGAACGGTTTCATTATAATGTATTGATGTGTAGTATATCAAAATGCACCATTTTTCTATATTGGGTGAATATTTATGGCATATACACTCGTACGTGTGAATTTTCTGACGTTGCCAGGTGCTCGTTCTCACACTGTTTTGTGTAAGATGAAGACTGTCGCAACGATTTTGTGAAATGAATTACTTTTGTGCTGCAGGCATACATTATGAAAAATGACTTAGTGTTAAATTCAAACTAGGAAGCTGTCTGTAGGAGGCTCACATCGACATATGACGTGCTAGTAAAACATTGACACATGTGAGGTCACGGAGCAAACTCGCTTATCCAACTCTCTCTTGTTTAGATCATAATTGTTTTAAAATGATGTATAGTTTTTGGATTAACGAAACATTGCGTTTTTAAGGGTGAATAATTACTTTTAATTTATAGTTCACATCACCCGGGTGTTGAGTTTGTTGAAACGTGAAGTCATTGCAATGGGCGTGACGGGCCTGTGATATTATTTCCTTACTTTCGATAACATCTTTACTTCTCGAAGTTTTCAATCGACTTTGGTGCAGATAAACAACTGGTTTACAGAGCAACTATGAAACAACAGCTGGGTTTGATAATATATGGTTACATTTAAAACAGCTGGGTCCACTTGCACACAGCGATTTTAGTGCTACGACTTATGTCATCCTATATTTCTTTACATACGCTTACATACATTAGCCGTAAAAGGCGACTATGCTTGTCGTAAAAGGCGACTAACGGGATCGGTGGTCAGGCTCGCTGACGTGGTTGATGCATGTCATCGTGTCCCAATTGCGTTGTTCATGATGTAAATCACTGGATTATCTGGTCCAAACTCGATTATTTACAGACCGCCGCCATATAGCTGGAATATTGCTGAGTGCGGCGTTAAACAACAAACCAACATACATAAACCGCAGCTCCACGGCTGATGCAATTCCCATTCAGGGCGTACAAGAACTGTAGCTCCACGGCTGGTGTAATTCCTATTCAGGGCGTACAAGGACTGTAGCTCCACGGCTGGTGTAATTCCCATTTAGGGCGTACAAGGACCGTAGCTCCACGGCTGGTGTAATTCCCATTCAGGGCGTACAAGGACCGTAGCTCCACGGCCGGTGTAATTCCCATTCAGGGTGTACAAGGACCGTAGCTCCACGGCTGGTGTAATTTCTATTCAGGGCGTACAAGGACTGTAGCTCCACGGCTGGTGTAATTCCCATTCAGGGCGTAGCTCAACGACGACTTTGTGTTTTATGGACTATAGTCTATAGACTATTGTTTACATGTATTCAAAGAAGAATCTGTGAAACAGGTGGCGCCAAAACGTGACGATATACCCCAAGGCCGCATCCCAAAACATCTATACTGAACCGCAAAATAAAACGTCACCCCAAGTAACATTGCATGAAAAGTTGTCATTAAGATATCTGGGTAATTTGTGTCAAAGTTTCTAAAATTTAACATTAACTTGTCCGGAAAAATGACATTAGATGATAAAAAAACAAAGCAGATGACAATTAAATCGATCTCCCAAACGCATCACGGCAACGGCCATGGTAACCCGATGCACGTGAGTACCGTGCAAATTGAAATGCACATGCGTCCCCCATTTCTTGCCCTATAAAAATCTACCCAGATCGGATAACATTCATTCGTTATTGAATTGCTACCACATGCCAAGATTGACAAGAAATCAGCGACACCAAGCCCTTAGACGATTGCAAGCTGGACAAACCGCCCGACAAGTAGCCAATGCATTTCAAGTCCACGTAAGGACCATATGCAGGCTCCAGCAACGGTACCAGACCACCAACACTACGGATGACCGACCACGTAGTGGAATACCAAGGGTCACCACCCGACGTCAGGATCGTCAGATTGTGAGACAGCATCTTGAAGATCATTTTGTTACTGCTGCGGACACTGCTCGACAGACCATGGGGACACACCAGATACACATTAGTGCGGACACCGTGCGTCGACGATTGACGAGCAGACACCTCCACTGTCACCGGCCACACCGAGGACCAATTCTGACACCACGTCACCACTTCAGTGGGCAACATATCACCAACATTGGCTCCACCAGCAGTGGAGAAGAGTCCTCTTCTCAGACGAGAGCCGTTACTGTATCTCAACAGCAGATGGCAGAGAGAGAGAGAGAGAGAGTCTGGCGACGCCGTGGGGAACGTTATTCGGATACTTGTGTCGTTAAGAGAGACCCGTGGGGTGGTCCGAGCATCATGGTATGGGATGGAATTGGTATTGCACAGAAGGTCTGCCCTGTGTTGTTCCAGAACATCGGTCCAGGGAGAGGCAATGGTGTCACAGCAGCTCGGTTCATTAATCAAGTCTTGAGACCACACGCCATACCTCATTTGGCACGTCGCCGCAACTACGAGATTCAGCATGATAACGCCCTTGCCCACACTGCGAGAGCAACAAGAGACTACCTCCAGCAGAATGGCATCAGAACCATGCGGTGGCCTGCCCTCAGTCCCGATTTAAATCCCATTGAGCACCTGTAGGACGTGATTCAAAGACGGCTGAATGACTTCCGACCAAGGCCGACAACTGCAGCTGAACTGCGTTAGACCTTCCTCAGTGCCTATGGCCTTCATCAACCGCCTCATCCATTCCATGTATCGGCGTTGCACGGCAGTCATCAATGCACATGGCGGACACACGAGATACTGACTTGTGATGCCATTTTCTCAGACTAGTGTTGTGTTTCACTTTAAGAACATTTGACACTTTAATTTCAATCTTGATGATCAGTTTTTTAATATGTCTCAAAGTATGTTTACAGTGTTTAGGCAAATAAGGTTTCCCATATATCTATCCATGGTGACGTTTCTTTTGCGTCTCAGTATATTTGTTTGCGCAGTTCTGGTGCTGGCAGCCATTTTGACAATGGCGGGACACCCAGATCGATGTGGGGCCATCCTTGTATATCTCGTAGTCGCATATGCGGATTGCTCGTGAAAACTAATAAATACTTACTCGCTATGCCAACACTATGCAGTGTCATTACTGCTGTGTCACATGTGGTCAATACTTTACCATTACCATCTTTTGATTCGTGCTATACTTGTGATGACAGCGTTTGTTTGTATCATCATCATCATCATCATCTTATTATTATTATTATTATAGTTGTGATGTTACATCGATATAGTTTTTGCTAGCCAGGATGTCATCACTGTTTAATGATTCTGTGGATACGTCGCAGGAATGACACATATTTTATAAGCCACCCTGTGCTTAACAAGAGTTTATTAAAGGATTTTATCTCTATATCCGTATAAAAAGATTAGTATTCTTGAAGAGATATATTTCGTAAAAAAAACCATTCTGGAATTCGTATTTCCGAATATTATTTCATTTTTTAAAGATAAACATATACTCTGCAAAACAAAGAAACGCAAAAGTAGTAAAATCGTAAATATCTGACAGGGTGTAGCCAAGTTTTTCCACGTAGCACCAAGCACCATTACAGGACGGTGGAACCGTTATCAGACAAACGGGACAACACGTGACCTTCCCAGAACCGGTCGTCCACGTATTACGACCAGAGCACAGGACAGATTCATACGGCTACATGAAAGAACCACCACGGCCACCTCTATGACTACGGCAATACCATGAGCCCAGACAATGAGGAACCGTTTACGCGCTGAAGGTATTCGAGCTAGACGACCAGTTCGAGGTGTCTTTTTGACGGACCGGCATCGTCGGCTGCGACGTCAATGATGTAAAGGTCACGGAGTATGGCCACAACTGCGATGGATACAAGTTTGGATTAGTGTCACGTTTTATGCTTTGCCGTGCGGATGGTAGACGTCGTGTTACGGGGAACGTTATGCATGAAACTGCCAACAGGAAGTGGACAGATTAAGTGTGATGATGTTGGCTGCCATCCCCTACACTGGTAGAACAGACTTAGTGCAAGTTCAAGGAAATTTAACGGCGCAACGTAACACGGATGAGATTCTTCGGCTACACGTCCTTCTCAATATGCAATAGCCTTTTTCTGGAAACACAACATCCAGGTCCTGTCATGACCCTCAAGG